AAGGGTCAACAGCTCTAAGTGACATCTCTGTTTGAGCAGCATTCAATAACAAAATTCAGTACTAGTAATATAACTAATTATGCCTGATGGCAAATGCTGGAATGACTATTCACTAATCCAGTTTAAACCCACTAACAACACAATCACCAGGTCATAAAAGCATACTAGTCCAGCATGAAAGTCCTAAAAACAGAACCCTACAAAGTCATTCACTTGGTTGAATGGCAAAAGAAACAAAATTCCAGGTGTGTAAGAAAAATATAAATCCTACCCCTAACTAGGCAATGACCAATACTAATAGGTGACTTCAGGAAAAGCTTAAGGAAAGTAATTCAAATCAAGAACTGAAAACAAGAGATTTCATCTATCCCATACATCCCATCCATTCATGGACTCGCTTGGAGTACTGATGTAAACATCTATATATAAAGTATGAGGCACACCTAGAACAGCTTTTATCAGAGAAGGAACCCTGTGGCATGCCCAACAAAAGACTCCCACTTAGAGTAAACCTTTGGTAATCACAGATAAGGCCACACAAATATAATAACAGAAAAATTCCTGTTTTCAAATAAGTAGCACAACCACAGGATAAAATAAATTCTGATCCTGATGGTTCACACAAAAAAAATTTCCAAGTAGTTGAGAAGAAAAAACTATCAAGCTCTTCTGCGTATAAGTTTTCCTTCCCTTAACACATGAAGAAAGACTTATGCCAAAGGATCTCAAAGGTGTCACTAGTAGTTTAAAAAGGAAAAATGAGAAATGTGAGTTAACTGGTGTCTTCTGTCCCTTACTACAGGCAACATCCTGACCAAACTACCTTGTGGTAGACCACTATGTAAAACACCCCACCCACTTCTATCCTTTCCTAAGTAGCTGGGGGATACAACCTGGGACAGTACATATGATCTAAGCAGTAAAACATAAAGGAGCCTGGAAATAGCCAAAACTTTAAAAAATGTACTTAATTCTACACAACTGACTTGCTCAAAAATATTAATGCCATGAGACACAGAAAAAGGCAAGGAACTGTTGTACGGGAAACTAAAGAGACATGACAATCAAAAGTAATGCATGAGTCTTGACTGGACACAGGATTTTTGGAACTAAAGAAAAATTTGAAAAGGGACTATATATCATATACTTTCCATAGTTATACAGGAAAACGTCATTTATTTATGTATGTATGTATGTATGTACGTACGTACTTTTTAGACAGTATCTCACTATGTAGTTCAGGCTGGCCTTGAATTTGGCATGATCCTCCTGCCTCAGTGCTGGGACTGCAGGCTGGGACTGCAGGCGTGCTCCATGATGCCCTTTGAAAATGTCCTTATTCTTAAGACAATAATCTAAAACGTTTAGAGTGAAGTATCCTGTCCGTACTTATTAACACTTTGAAATTGTTCTGAAAAAATATGTACATATATAGAGGAATAAAGCTAATATGAGAAACATAATTAGTGAATCTAGGTGAATGCTAGATGGGTGAGGTGTTCACTACTGTAGTCCTTCAATTTTTTTGGCAGATTTTAAATTTCTCAAAATAAAAAATAAAGAGAACACTAAATATATACTCAACACCACCTTAGACTCCTATTTATTGGGCAGACCTGAGTTCTCAGGTGATCAAGACAATAACTAGCTGGCTCAGGCTTTCAATCCCTTTTCTCATCTAGTTCTAAACAACAAAAAAGTAAATGGTTATGCAACTTGTGTGACACAGTGTGGTGTTTACGAGGCATTTAACAAGATGCTAATAAATTACCACACATTCATAACCTGGATTTGGAATCCTTGTGAAAGTCTCTTAAAAGAATAAGCAAGTGATTCAAAACATATTAATTGAATAAAATATGCAGCAAAGCTATAAAGAAAGTATAATCCACTGTTTTCAAATACACATGCAAATTATTTAGGTTACAGGTAGCAGAACTGTGTATGTTCACTTGGATTTTGCTTTCTTATTACATGTACATATATTGCTTCTCATATTAGATCAAAACTACTAAGAGATACTTAAGCAAATTAAAATTGCACCTGAGCCACAACAAAAGATATGAGCTATACATCAGAGGCAGATCTACAAATAGTTTCATCAAAATTTTAAGCAGGGGTTGGGGATGTAGCTCAGTGATAGAACTGCCTAGCATATTGAGAGCCTGGGTTCAAACCCTATGGGAGAGGGGAGGTGTTGTGAACAGCATTTATCATCATGTGTCAAAACAAAATAACAGAAGTGCCAAAACATAGCCACTACTCGCTAATTCATCCACTAAGTACACATGTATTGAAGATAGCTTACTTTCTAGTATTGTGGATACTGAAATAAAATATAGACTCTATCTTCAATGATTTTTTTCAGTCTAACTAGCAGAACCAGACAAACAAACCAATTCATTAATCCAAAAAGAACAAAATGAGTATCAGAGAAGTGATGCTTACAGGGCCAATGAGCAACATGCTATGAAGGATAAGCAACAGAGGCCAAAGGCGATGAGACCATGTGCTGAGCTCATCTTCAATCAATGCACCTCAGACACGGACTGCAGACTAACAGAACACCCCTAAGCTTACAGCAGGTTCATACAATCGTGTTTACTGAAAGATACATTAAAATTAAAATGAAAAAATGTAATTTAGTTCAAACATTTATTAAAAACGGACTATGCAAAGAATTCTGTCCAGAGCCAAGCTACAAAGACAAATAAAACTTAGTTCCAGTCAGGCACAATGGCACATATCTATAATCTCAGTGCATAGTGAGTAGCTAAGGCAGGAGGACTGCAAATCTGGGTTCCACCTAGGGAACTTAGCAAAGTCTTGGCTCAAAAGTATTTTAAAATGTTTAAAAAGGGCTGAGGATGCAGCTCAGAATAAAGGGCCCCTACGTTCAATTCCAAGTACTGTCAAAAAGCAAAACAAAAAATTCAATTCCTACATTCAAGGTACACATAAAGAAAAGTAATACTCAGGGTGAAGTGGTGTAGCTCAGTGCTTAGCGTAGGAGAGACCACAGGTTCAATCCCCAGGACTGGAAAAAAAAACAAAAAAAACCACAAACCCTACAGTAATTCTCCTTTTAAAATTAGAAGTATGATGGGAGGCTGAGGTGAGATTAAGCCTGGGCATTTTAGCAGAATCCTGTCTCAAAAAGTAGTCTGGAGATGTAGCTTAGTACAAATGCTTTAATCCCCACTACTACCCTGGCCAAAAAAAGGAAAATGTCATTAGCCATATTTGTTATATATAAACTACACATTATATTAATATTTATTACATAATATTCACTAGCACAATGCCATTAATAAGTAATTAAAGATGAAAAATCCAGGAATACCATAAAACCTACCATTTGTTAAGGACTGATTCAATGCCAGTATATAAAAAGGGGGTAAGTGCACCCAAGATTATAAAGCTAGGGTTTGGCCTCAGGTGGGTCTATTTCTCTCCAAACTAGAGTATAAGAAAAGCATGCATCTGTAGTCCCAGCTACTCAGGAGGCTAAGGTGGGAGGACACCCTGAGCCCAGGAGTTTAAGACCAGCCTGAGCAACAGCAAAAACCCATCTTAATACACTAACAAAAAGATACGCATCTGACATACATACAAAGACCAAGTTTTACGACTACAGGTTATATAGTTAGGATTTACCCAGGTATTCACTTGATTTTGAATAAACAGTCTATCAAGAAAACAAAACTGAAACGAAGTTTATATACTGATTATTGCAATTTACAAATACATTACGGAGAAATGTATAATCAGCATCAAATTTTCAGTTTCTTTATGGTCAACAAGTCATTTTATGTCAAAATCAGGGGGTCAGCTAATATGATCCATGACCTATTTTTGTAAACAAAAGACACCTGTAAATAAAATAAATACTTGTTTATGTATTGGCACACAGATTTATCCAATTTGTTTACGTATGGCCTGCTTTTCTGCTACAAGGCCAGAGGTAAGTAAGTACTTATGATATAAACAATATGACCACGAAAAACCTAAAGTATTTTCTAGCCCTTTACAGAAAAATTATGCAGGCTCATGATCCAAATGATAACCATATGTATCAAAAATGGTTAAAAAAAAGTTTGCTCATTTCAGCCCTATTTAAGGTTTATTGTGAACTCTTCCTTTTCCTCTGTAATAGTGACACTTAATATTAATGTTCATTATTTCAGTTACAGTAATACCTTGGTTCACAAATGATTCTATTCACAAACAATTCAGTTCTCAAAAGCATTTGACAAAATTTTGCTTCCATTCACAAACTCCACATTAGGTGACAAACACAACCACAGCCATCTTCCCCACACAAACACAAACACGGCCATCTTCCCCCAAAATCATAAAATTAAGTTCGTGAACCGAGGCACCAGTTTATTTTCCATACAGTAGGTATTACTTTAGTTATCCAATAATTTAACCCTCGCAAAATTATTACAAACAAAATCTTAACTAAGGCATATTTGTAATCATTCTCATACAGGCTTATTTTCAACTGCATATAATCTATAAAGATACGGATAAGCAAAGCTGAACACAGGACTGGGGCTATAGCTGAGTGGCACAGCGCTGCCTGGCAAGTGTGAGGCTGAGAGTTCAACTGCCGGTACCAAAAAAACAAAAACAAAACAACAAAGCAAAGCTGAACGCAGAAATAGCAACTTTATATTTTGAGTACTCTATATACCAGAGCATCATTTAGGTGCAACTAAGTGCCTAACTGCTTCTTACAAAAACAAATTCATGAGCACCATTCTAGACCTACCAAGCTGGTTTTTTGAGATAGGGTCTCCCTATCTAGTTCAGGTTGGCCTTGAACTCACTATATAGCCCCAGGCTGGCCTCAAACTCTTGGTGATCCTCACTCCTTAGCCTCCCAAGTGAGGGATTACAGGTGTATGCCACCACACCCAGCTCCTACCCGGTCACTCTTTTGAACACTGAAAGCTTGAGAACCAATGCACTAAAACAAAGTATATATTCCTTACCTTCAGTGTAAAAAGGCTGATTCGACCAGGTAATTTATAAAACAGCCCTTCTCCTCCTCTTGAGTTGGAATGTAGCATGGCATTGAGGCACGCAAGAGGGGATGTCCCACTGTAAAACACAAAAGAATGGATGAGGTATACAAATAAGGATTTGTATGAGGATACAAATCCATATATCACTTACCAAAGACTTCATCCTTCCCACTCATTTTTAAATCAAGATATGAAGAAATACTGAAGAAAAAAAAAAATCCCGTGACAATAATTATACTGTGAAAGTAGTAAATGAGTAGCCAGCTGAAATTCTCATAAATCACACTAAGAGGTCTGGAGCAAGATACATGATGTGATACCTGAAATCTATACCTAATACTTGCTAACCAAATGAATCAAATTTCCAAGAAATTTTTAAAAATCACACAATTTTTTCAAGTTATATTTTAATAAAATTTAAACACTCACATTTTAATAAAATTTAACTAAGCTTCCTACTCGCTACATTTGAACCTACATATCATGCTCAGGAACTTCCATATAGGACTATCAACACAAAGACCACAGAATCAATGACATCCCAATAAAACAAACCCATCTTTATTTGTTCAGTTAAATATTTTCTAATAAGTACACAAAAGAAACAGAATTTCATTTCCTTTTTTTCTATTGGCAAGAAAGGTAGCTGTTTTAGTCAACACCGGTCCAGGAACAATCAATCAAATTTGAATGCAAAAAGAAAAATCAAGCTGGAGATATAGCTCAGTAGCACAGTGCCTGCCTGGCAAGTACAAGGTCCCGAATTTGATTCCTAATACAAAACAAAAAAGTCACAGAGATTTAATACCCAGCAATGCTAAAACATTAATCTAAAAAGATGGAATATTAAGATACTTCATAGTCCCTGCCACAACAGTAGGTCACAAAATAATGACAATTTAGTAAGAGAGCTACAGAGTCTTAAAACAGAAAAGCTGTCAAAAACATACATAAATGTCCAGTAATATTAACTAATGTGGCCATTAACACATTAGTGCTAAGATTTACCTGCCTATCTTCTCTACCCTCGTTATCAACATGTTAAAAATATATATATATGTATGTCTTAAGCAAAGCCTCTTAGCATTTTTGAGAAGCAGAGGTCCTAATTTACAGACTATTAAAAATAAATTCTGAGTATAAAAAAAGTCATTTAAAAAACCCTATTACTCTGATTTGGAATACACTGGATGCTTAAAAAAAAAAAAGAAAATGCACCAAGAACCGATCTCTAAAAGAACCCTGGTGCAGAATCTGGAGCAGCAAGTGGGTGTGCTAACATCTCTGCAACGAAGGGGACAGCATGCTGGCAGAGTCCTTCTGTGACTCCTACACATTATCCCTCTGTCTAAAACTGACAGAGCTGCTCACTCATCATGGCCACCATGACTGCTTCATAACCCTCCAAAAGCAAGAAGCAAACTAGGTGAGGTTCTCAATTCCAACTGTCCCAAAGGGACTAATTTACCTTCTATAGGAATAGTGGTCCAGTAGCAGTGCAGACAGCAGCAAGATGGGAAATAGCCCATAGAAAACAAAAATAAAGTATAGTTATAACACTACATAGTGCCTAGGTGCACAAGCTGAATTAACTGTGATCTAGGCAATCGTAATTCTCTCTCCCCACAAAACATCAATTCAAGAATATTTGATCCTACAACTGGCAGTTGGGGACCCTTTAACCCTAAAAAGATCAGTTCAAGCAGCTATCATTTGACCAGTAAACTGTTTACTATGATTCCCAAGAAGAGATTATGTTGTATTCCTCCCTCCTCATTTAAATTAAAAAAAAAAAAAAAGTTGAGATAAAGTTGAGGAGAAAGAAGATTAAGGACAGTCACTGGTTTTCATGCCTACAATGTCTTCTGTGTTTCTAACTTATTGCTTATCTGGAAAAAGTCCATCATAAGAAAATAAAAATCACCCCAAAACAGCAAATTCACATCATGAAAGGCCAGAATCAGTGGATAAAGAGAAGCAGCCAGAGGGTTTTATGCAGATGAAGTCACTCTTCTTGGATTCTACAGACAACAACTTAGGTAGTATGGCAAAAAGAGAAGCGTAGTTTAGACACAGTAGGGTTGACCAGGACTTGCCCCTTCTCTATTACTGAAACCTGCAAAACAGACTGTAAGATAAAATGTGTCCTGATTCCTTACACAAAAGAGAAGCTCTAGGCCAAGATCTATGAAAAGATATGGATATTTGCCTACTCCCACTCTCCATTCAGAGGACACACAACACAAGAATCACAGATGGTTCAACACCAGCACCAAACACACAAGAGATACATAAACAGGTAGACTCAGATCACTAAATAACTAAAAGACGTATGTCCTGTGAAACTCTCATGATAAGCAAAAAGAGCAATACAAACCTCATTTCCTTTAATCCTTCTGCCTCTATGACCTGTAGAATCTGTTTTGGTGTCATTGGAGCATCTGAGTAGTTTTCTAATACCTGAAGAAACATTTAAAAAAAGAAAGATAAATATCCTAATTTTAATGTACAATTTCCATGTATATCCATCAATCAATACCATGAGCTATAGTTCTGCTATGAGGTACTGCTAGTGACAGTTACTTTTCCATAAAAGTTACTTCCAAGCATTGGCCTAGTATGCATGAAGGCCTGAGTTCAATCCCCACCACCGTTTAGAAACAAAAAACAAAAAAAGAAAGATTACTTCAGAAAGCAAACTTATACCTATACCCAGTATATTGAAAATGACTTCAAGAAATAGTGTAATTCTCAATTCTAAGGACGTATCTTCTTAATAAACATGTTATATGATATCCAAGAATTTACAACTCTGGTGACTACTAAATGTGATACTTGTTAAACTACAGAATATATACTGCTGCACAGTAAGTTATAAGACAGAAATTCATTCAGATTTTCTTTCCCAAGGAAGTGTGATAAGTACCTGTATTTTTAAGTGGTATTCTTGTGCCACTACGTTGTGAAATTCTTGTGTTAACTGCTACAGTACATTCTGCCATTTGACAACATGATGCTATGATATCATGTGTTTGGGGTAAGTGAAACAAGAGACACAATGCCGGGTTTATGTAGGCATCATCTATAATTAAGTCACTGGAACTTAATGAGCAACTTTAAGTCCCTCTTTTTAAGTTGTTTTAGAAGTATTACTCTTCTAAGGAAAGGAAAGGTCTGTCAGTGTCTTTGTACTTTCTTTACCTGTTCAGCTGCTGAGGCAACTCCAAGCTAACATCCTGTGGTCATGTAACAATCGTAACAACTAAGCATGCTCTGTCACCAGTAAAATGTAAAAAGCAAAAAGTCTAACAGAACTGCTACTGAAAGCACTCCATGGAAGAACCTAATGTCTTAGCACTAAAGGAAGTCAAGATTTGGATAAGCAGAAGGTAAAACAAAACTCCTATTTCCCATGATCCTTAGCTTCTCTTTTCTCAATTTTTTTTTATTCTCTTTGCGTAACACTGTCATCTCTTACAGTGCAAAAGTACTATTTCAATTCTGGTAAGATCTCTACCACTAGCCCTTATGACTTCCCAAGCTTGAGATTTAAATGTCAGCTTTGTACATAACATACTCCCTCAACTATTTACTCTTTATTCACTTCCACTCTAATTCATTTTCCTTCCAGGCCCACTCTTCTTTCCCTACCATGATCAGCAGTCTTTCTGTAATCACCTAATTCAGAAAACCAGGTGACCTTCTCACCTGCCCTCCAAGTCCCACAGCCAGTCTCTTACCTTACTCTAATTAATAGCCCCTTCACTAATATCTTCCAGTCCAGCCCTCAAAGCTGGACTGAAAACAAAGGAAAGCCCTTTGCTTTCCTCAAATCCATTCTTAGTATGCTGTCATCCTTCATTCAACAAATACACAGAACAGGGATTCAGAGTAAACAGGACATAATCTGGTCCCTGCCTGTGTCTCTACCTGAATGCCACGATGACATCTCACAAACTTTATGTTCCAGTAACTACTCATAGGTATATCCAATTCCCACACATCTGCAAATACATTCACACTCACATTCATATACTATCATTCCTCTCTGCTATTTCTTCTCGTCAGCACCTGTTTATGTCCTCTGTGGAAAGGGCTATTTCCTACTTATCCCTCAAGATTCAGCTCAGAAAGCATCTTCCTAGCCCAATGTGGTGGCACACACCTATAATCCCAGCACCTGGGAGGGTGAGGCAGGAGGGTTATCAAATTTAAACCTGGCCTGAGCAACTTAGCCACTTAGACCCTGCCTCAAAATTTTAAAAAGGGTGGGGGTAGAGCTCAGTGCAAAGGTTCAAGTACTAGGTTCAAGCCTCAGAACTGGGAAAAAAGAAAAAAAGCATCTTCTTCCAGGAAGGATTCCCTGATCTCTGCTAGTGAGTTAAATGTCTCTTTTCAGTATCCCCACTGTCTGACCCACAGTACATATGATTATCTTCCAAACCAAGATACCTGAGAGTGAAAGAAGGAATTAATAATAATTATGCCTGGACAGTGGGCAGAAACAAGGATTTAATTATATCAGTTTACCATTTATGAGAACACTTATTATGCCATATCTGGATGCTTTCCTATAACTCAGGAGACCAAAAGCTCCAGAGGGGCAAACTATCTATCTTTGTATCTCAAGAAAGTGCATGCCACAATGGTCAGTGTTGACTTGAGCAAACCTACAATAAATCCTGGTACAAAGTACTAATGTTCACTACAAGATATCATTCCTTTGATACTAATTAAGTACGAGCTGAGATAGCAAATTTTCATAGAATAATTTAAGAAGCATGTCTGAAAATTTGGCTACCCACTATTTAAACAGCAGTCAGGAAGAGCTTGAGAATTCTAAGACGGAGGAAACAAAATCTCTAAAGGGAAGTTACATCAAAAGGTACAAAATATTCACTTTTATTAAAACTGTGTATACCTTCAGCTTTTGGTATAAGAACAATTCAGCAGTGTTTCATTCTGATCTTTTTTAGACTGTACATTTTTTTTAAAAAAAGAAAAAAGTATCTCTTCTACTTCAAAGGCAAAAATGTTTGATGTAAGAATGGTCAGTCATGAATCAAAGTGCAAGATAAAGCATGCAATGAAGTTTCTCAAAGCCCCAGAGAATTCACTTAAGGATAATACACTCAATTTAAGGAGAAATTTCCTTGGCTATTCTTCCCAAATTGTTCCTAACAAGCAAGAGGATTTATACCCCTCCACCTACCTAAAATCTACTTCTTTGTCTAGAAAAGACAATACTGTCCTACAAGACATTTGAAAGAATCAAATGTCTTTCTTTCTTTGTAAAGAATGAGCATCATTAAGATCTGAAAAAAAACAATCCCCCGGGATATATACTACTCCAGTGAACTTCTCCAAAAATTTCTTTCTCTGCCAACACCGTTTTTTAAAAGCGTTCCCAGGGCCGGGATATAGCTTAGCAGCACAGCACCTGTCTGGCAAGTGCAAGGTCCTGCGTTCGATTCCCGGTACCAATAAATAAATAAATAAAGAGTTCCCAGCATGAAGCAGTGACCAATAGCACTGAGGTCAGGAGCAATCTGAAACTGACACCCAGCAAGTGTGTATGACTGTCACTGCAAGTACTCCAAATTAACCTGCCCAAAGAGTATATAGTAATAGTGTTCAGATGATCTAATTAACTGCCCTACTATTTTAGCTCACTTCTAGTCAGTGCACCCTTCCTATGTCCAGTGTAAGCTTTCAGAAACGCTACAGCACTTAGGACAGCAGTTTGAAAAAAAAACAGGGAAGAGGATTTTGGGGGGGTAGAAGAGTACTTTAAGTCAGGGTCTTGCTATGTATTCTAGGCCAAACCTGAACTTTGATACTTTTGCCTCAGCTGCCCACAGTGCTGAGATTACAGGTGTGCACCACTACACCCCAGCTGGAAAGACTTTTTAAGAGGTTCCCTTCACCTATCAATCAGTAACATCCAAAGGGTCAGACAATTCTAAAACAAAACAAAACAAAACAAAAAAACATCTAAAAGATGTGAAAAATTAGGGCTAGAAACACAGCACAATGGTGGAGTACCCGCCTAGCAGGCAAAAGGCCCTGGGTTTGGTCCCCACATCCTCTACCACCGCCACCCCGCCCCCCTCAAAAAAAAAGAATGGAAAGTTTATACACCACATTCTTTCAAATATATAACTGCACCAGAAAATAATTCTTATTCACACTGTTTTTAATGCAGAAACACAAAAGAGAAATCACTCACTTGGATAATGTGGTCTGAATGTGATGCAATAACAAAACAGAAATAGTAACCTATACACTGAAATTCAGACCACAGCAAATGTAGGAAGAGGCTTAAAAGTGGACTTCCAGGTTCCTAAGCACCAACAGAACTTTGAGACAAGTAGATTTTAGAATACTGTCAGGACGTAAGTAACACAGGATTTAAAGATACTTTCACCTACCTATAAAGTACAACTCTGACAAGCAAATTTCCTTTGGGTGCCCAGTCATGAACACCTGTACAGAGAACTCAAAGGAGAATTTCAATTAACATTCAAGAGACAAAGTAGAGTGTGAGTCCTTTTGACTCTTCTACTCTCTCCTTCAGACCTACGCTTGTTTCCAGGTGAAGCAACACTGAAGAAATTGTGAAATTTCCAAAATCCTGAAACTAGTCAGAGCTTCTAATCTTGACTGAATCAGTTAAAAGAATATTTGGGAGCTTGGAAAATCTTCAAATTTCACGTCAAAAAAAAAAAAAAAAAAAAAAACTGAAGCATAAAACTTCACCATACAATTACTATTTGTTTCCAGTGCAATAAATTCCCAGGGAAGATTCTCTGAAACAACAGTGAAAATTCTCCTGCAGCTCAAACAACTTCTGTTTTTGTCAATCAGTAACTGAGTTTTACAGGCTCCAAAAAAGAAATAGGTGTACTCTAGATTTCTATCAACCCCTCCCTCACACATATTCATCTTTTTTGCACACCACTTTGAAGCAGAAAACTCACTTCCCTGTAAGAGGAAAAATTAGAAGGGTGAGCTTCATTCATCATTAAAAGTGAATTATAGCAATTACATATAAACTACAGGGTGTCAACAGACATGTATGCTATCTACATCAGAATCACGCTTTATGACAGTTGAGAAGGAAATATCTCTGACAGAAGTAAAACCTGTTACTAGTGTCATCAGCAACATTTTATAAGAACACTTATCAGAGTATCTTGGCTTTGCGGTGCAAATCCAAAAGGAAACTAATTTCACTTATGAGTCCTCTGATGCTTTGAAAACAAAATTCACAACATCCCTCACAGCGGGCAGTTCAAGCACTCAAATTACTCTCCCTTTCGCTAAACCCTTAGAGAAGAGTACCCCCAAACAGAGACACTTTGTCCAACATTCAGTTCTCTGCGAAGCGCCTACCTCCAGTCTAGCCTATGAAGTTGAACACTCTAGTCATAGCATTTTTCTTGTAGTCCCCGGGCCACTTGCATGAGAGCCACCTGGAAAGCTAGTTAAAATACCGTTTCTCAGGCTCTATCTATCCCAGAATCTCGGACTCTAGGTGCTAAGCCAAGCCCTGGGACATTTTTAACAACCTCCCCAGGTGTCTGCCCCCAGGGCTCTAAACTTTGAGAACCACTATTCAGGGTTCAAGCTGAGAGCAAGCACTTGCTGGCTCACAGCACACCTGGTCTAGATCGGCAAAACGCAAAATATTGTTCGCGTCCTTGAAACTGGGGGCCCTTTCCCACCGTCGGGGTCCAGAGCACCACCCTGTTAGCCGCCCAGAACCCGGCGCGCGCTTCCGACCCTTCCCGGAAACCCAACTCCCGGAGGTGAATAAGCGGAGCTTCCCCAGACCCCCAGCCGCTGCCTGAGGTGGGGGAGGGGAGACTGGGGCCCCGCAGCGCGGAGGGGGTGGGGGAGGAGCTGGCTGCCAGCTCGCCCCTCCGCAGGAATTCAGAGGGGTGTGCAAAAAAAAGGCGCCACATCCCATCCTGGCGGGGGACCGCTCCCCACCCGACGCCTTGGGGGCTGGTTCCGTTCGAGAGCAAGGGCGGTCCCGCCCCCTCCCGCTGTGGGCCGGGCCTCGCCCCTCCCCCTCCAGGCGCGGGTGCGCGGCGGGCCCACCCTTCGCACCCCCCACGGAGGCCCCCTCCACGGCCAGCCTCACCAGGCGCGCGGCCTCGGCCCACGTGCGTTCCTTCTTCCTCTTCTGTTTGTCCTTCATCCTCCTCCGCGGCGGTGGCTCCACGCGGGACCTCCGGGCGGGTCGGGCGGTGCCGGCGGCGCGGGGCTGGGGCGGCG